ATGTCCAAGTCACTGGGGTGATGAAGCTGTTCGAAAGAAATGCGAGTTCAATGGTTGGTCCACTGACATCAATGTTTTATTGCCCGTCTCGTCAACAAAGGCAAATGTCACATTTAAAAACGCTTTCTGTGCAGAATGTCACAAAGCGATGTCACACACAGCATGGAAACCCAAGATTTTTTGTCAGAAGTCACAAATAGAAGTTTTCAAAGACGTTAAGACCGTTGCCGGACTTTTGGAGCAGATTCATTTGACACCAGATTGCATGGTGCTCTTTGATGCTCCGGAACAGTACCCAGGGCGCCCTTGCATAGGCCCTGGAGGGGTGCACGAACCACTGAGTGGGACGGTTGACGGGATATGTCCAAACAGAGCCGACGCTGACTNTTTATTCTCAGTGTTTGGTATAGTTAGATAAAATTCTATTAACTTATCGATTTATTAGGACGATTATTTTGCACATCATTTTTTGTGCACCTAATACTTGACCTTTCAACCTCCAGACGAACTAGAGAGGAAGGGGTTCGAACCACATGGCCTTTCTGCTTTAATTGATTATCACAGAGAGGCACGCTGCCAGGAAACTTGGACTCGCGTAAGCATGCATAATTCTTTAACTCATTTGCGCCACATTAAAATATAGTTGAAACCTGAAATATAAACGAAAATAACACTTCGAATATATCATCTGAAGAGTTCATATTCTTCATATTTGCAGTGTTGTCTTTATTCTGGTACATGAATCCATTGGTAGTTGGGTTATCTTTACAGAAAATTCTAGAAGAATTTTTAAGAGGAGTCTGTTATTGTATCTAATGTAGGGATTTTTTTTCCATTTTGTTATATGTTATCATTTGTATATGTTCCCCTAGTGAGCCTCCAAGTATGGTAAATTAAAGTGAGTAATGTAGAAAGTTGTCATTCTATTTCATTATTTCATTGAATTGTCAAATTTGACTTAAAACGGCAACCTATTAGCACGCTGGCCGTACCACGCACAGGAAAATGTACCTGTAGTTTAAAATGTTTTATACATATACAGGCCTACCCAACTACCAGACTCGGCACCGAATGATCCCGAATTCACCGGTAGATCGGACCACACTACCCGTTTTGAAGTTGTGCGTCAGTACGAATTTCACAGTATCATATACCCCGGAACAAATTTTGAAATGAGATGAGATGCACTACTTTCCAACCCCGCTCAGAATCATCGCTATCGCATCGGTTAGGCAGGAGCGGTGTCGCGTCGGATACTTCGAAGCTCGTACTGACGCATACCTTGAAACGGGTAGTGTGGTCCCAACTACCGGTGAATTCAGGATCATTCGGTGTCGAGTCTGGTAGTTGGGTGGGCCTGATATTTTTCCACTAGCACACGCCTCATAAACGGTAAATGCCGTTTGCGCTCTCGAACCTGGGATTTGTTATCGCGAACGAATTAAATACTTAAATCGCGATGTCATGGCGTGAATGTATAATAAGTGGTCGCTGGCATCACATGTACCCCATGTACATAAAAGCTAGCATTCATCCGGGTCTCTAGCAATTAACATAGGGTTCTTTTTCTCCACCCCCAACCCGTACATGCGGAACGTACCGAACAGGTACCGAAAAGATTCGCGATTTGTATCGCGGTGCTCGCGCCCACTAAATTTACGTTCGTGGCATGATATCGCAGTTTGAGCCAATAATTCGTCATTTGCGATCACGAACCCGAGGCTCGAAATCAGGAAAGCCTAATTCGTTTTTATGACCTGTACCATTTGGATTGTATTTTAGGATGCCTGTAAGCAGTCCGAAGAATGTCCAGCGGATGTAAAGTGGTGCTCTCTCCCCCTCGATCTTATCATTAACTTGACATTCAAATTAAGTATCCAACTCAGTCCTATAGAGCCCATTAAGAGACCATGTGAGTTTTTGGCACTCTGCACTCTTGGCTTCAAGTTTTTTAGTGGGGGAGACTTATCTAGCTTTTCACCACGTGGCGCGTGGGTGCTTTCAGAAGAAGGGATAGAAGGAGATTGGTGCACACTACCCCGAGATGAGAGGGGTAATATCACCATCGTTATACCGATAAGACTTAAGCAGGGCGTTCATCGTGTGAGCGACGCCGATCGATTGTTCGAGGGCTTTGTGGATGAAGTCAAAGTTAAATCTCACCGTCAGATTTATTTCAAAATTAATTTTAACGTCAATTTTATGAGATACCGCAACTCCTTAAGTGCGATCTCGTCTGGAAAAAAGAGTGCCGGTATCCCAACATCTCTCTCTCCAGTCCAAGGCAATCTTATGTTCTGGCAGGCTTTGATAGCAATTTTCATTAACTACGTGTACATTTAAATGTACAGATATCTTTATATATTTTTCGATTCAATTAAGTTTATTCCAGTACTGGTGCATTCATTAAGGATATAGTAACCCTTTTTTATCCAGATACCGAAAATGAGGTTTCCTCTATGTTATTAATCAGTAATGCGTCTATCTTTGCACTGATAAAAAACTCAAAAATTTAAAACCTTTCTATTTTGAGGTGAGAGAGCAATCGGTATGGGGCATAACTTATCCTTGAACAAGATTTTTATCACGAAAATTGGCGGAGTGTACCACGAGAGTTAGCTACAATACCGTGCCGCCATTTTGGTTTAAATTTTTTTATGGAGTTATATGAACCTCTAATTACAGATTATCATTAAACAAAGGCATTATTTTGCTTTATCAACGAAAAAATCTTAACTAAGACTTCCAAGAAAAATCACTGGCAGGTATTTAGAATACTAAATCAGACGTTATAAACGGACTGGGCGTTTACTAGCACTACCCACAGATCTTTTAGCACTAACACACATATTAACCAACTCACCCACAAATTAACCAGCACCACCAGGGTGGATGGATGTTAGTACTAGGTATCGCTTTGTTGTGCTAAATAATTGTGCGGTGTACTGGTTAATTGGTGTGTTTGGTGGTTAATATTAGTTTGTGCTAAAAGATCTGCGGGTAGTGTTAATAAACGCGTAATCCGTTTGTAAGGCCTGTAGATGCATGGTGTCATTAAATCGGCGTTAAAACGGTAATCGCGGGTGATCAGGTAAAAGAGAAATTTGAGAAACCGATTTTTCAGTTCTTACTCCAAAATTGCAATTATGACGTCACACGTAAGATGACATATGTATAAATGTTAATTAATTTAGTCACTGAACACTGAGGATTTATCTAATACCCAAAAGAATGTATGTAAGGCAGAAAATAAGGAGTTTCGATTACTAAGTAAAATGTTATAGTGGTCATTGGCATGACTGAGACCAGGGATGGAACTACAATCTGGTCGCAGCGTTTGGTCTTACAATTTTCAGTTTACGAGAGATGAGCCCGCATTATATCGCCTTTTTACTACTGTAGTACTTATAATATCAAATTTTCTGGCACCGTCTGTACGCGGACTCACTGAAAAGTTTCAAATAACCGCCATGACGTTACGTTTTTCAGCCAGTTGCCATATGACTGTTATAAAATCAAATTTCCTGGCACCGACTGCACTACTTACTTATTGTTTTGATTAAATAGACTTTAGAACTGTTAAGGTCATCAGTTCGAGTCAGCAAATTTACCCCCAATGTATTTTAAAGCGACAACATTATCTCAGAAAATGACACCTTGATTTCTATGATATTGTATCAGATTTAAAAAGAAAAATATTAGGTATAATTCAGAAATTTCCATTGGTTCAAACTACATGTATCACACGTACATGTAGGCAGCTTATATGAACATTTAATTGTATAATTTAAACGACTTTTAAATAATTTAATTGAAGCAAAAGTTTTAGAAAATCCTGATATTTTAATGAAATTTGGACGTCAATAAAAGACCTTAAAACAAGTTTTCTGTGTTTGCAGCATATGTATTTACATTTTCTTCTTTTTAAAACCCTACTCACTGTAACGGTCTGTGTGGCAACTTTTGCTTCAAATCTTAACTGATTCTTTACAAAATAAAAATCAGCAACAAAACAACAGCAAATTATCGCAAACGCTTATTGTTCAAAAAGACAAAAAAAAAAGACAACATTGAAAATGGCATTTTTTTATTTTGTAGTGTGATATAAAATAAGATATATGAAACATATAATATAATAACATATCTTGAGCGCCATGGAACTATCTATCTTACATATGCTAACACAGTGTATATACCAATCTTACAGTATGTTTTTTTTTTCATTTTACACTGTATTAACTGTACAGTGTACAACTATAGGCATCCATTGAAAGCATTTGTTATAAATAGTGTAAAAGAAAAAATCAGTATCCATATTCATAGAAAGTTTTCCATGATATGACTTGTACTATCCCCTCCTACAAAAAGCCAAAACAAAATGAATAAATAAGAACGCTACGGTCGACACATCCGATGAGGCAAACCCGTTTTTGAAATGAAAAACACAATTGGCACCCCTACCGCAATCTGCTCCAGTCACTCGTACATTGCAGCATGTGACTCGGTTGTGATATTTACGCTCCAGCCTTTAATCACATTTTATCTGTTGGACTTGGTAGATGATATTATTTCATCAATCAACAATTTATTGAAAAGCCTTAGGAATAAAGGCAATCGAAGTACCGTTTTATGCATCATTTTATTGCGGATAAAAATATCGTTCAACAAGTAGTCCTAGAAGTCGTTAACGCGTAAAGAGTACATGACAACCATTATAATGATGGCAATGCATTCTAAAAAGTAGAGAGAAGTAGAAGTAGAATAATATATTCCAGTTTTATGAAATAGTTATTTGGTAGACGGAAACATTTTAATCATTAGTGAGTATATTCAGCAGTTCATTTTATCGTTCCTATTTTCGTGACATAATACAGTTCATGTGATTGTGCGTGTGTGTTTGCGTGTGCTAATGTGTGTTTATGTGTGCGCGCGTGTGTGAACGTGCGTGTATGTGTGAACTTGCAATTGCGCACACCATCTTCTGCTTGTTTACGTGCCTGTTAATCTTCATACAAAAGGAATCCATTAAACGAGACATGAATGTGCTCTGGAAGGCTAATCGTAGCTCCATTCGGTTGCTGTTGGAGCCACACCCTGTCTCCCTTCTGCAGACGAAGTATGGCCTGGTTGGTCGAGGTATGATAGCCCGCGGACCCAAAGGCTTCATTCACATAGCCGGCATTGGTGCGGAGGTACACTCTAGCACTCTTGACACCGCTGTGAATAGCGAAAGTGAAGAAGTAGGTTCCGTCGACCGGTGCATGGAATGAGGAGACGTCATCGAAGCCTCGTCCAAGATTTGTCAGGGTCTTTTGNCAGACGAAGTATGGCCTGGTTGGTCGAGGTATGATAGCCCGCGGACCCAAATGCTTCATTCACATAGCCGGCATTGGTGCGGAGGTACACTCTAGCACTCTTGACACCGCTGTGAATAGCGAAAGTGAAGAAGTAGGTTCCGTCGACCGGTGCGCGGAATGAGGAGACGTCATCGAAGCCTCGTCCAAGATTTGTCAGGGTCTTTTGAAATGTAAGATCGACAGCGGCGTTGCCGTTTATCAGATTTGTAGTACACATGGCGGAGAATGCAGTTTTGGTTTTTCCTGAAAATAGTAAAACCTGCTTGATATTAGCCTACACCTAGTAGTGCTGAAGATAAGATGTAGCCTGGTACTCGGTACTGGTATTACTCACAACTGTATTCAACGTTCCCTCTACCAGTGCCACAGAGTGATTTTATACTACATTTTCACAACTTTGTCTCTTGTTAATTCTATCCACTTTTCTATACGCGAGCGCTGTATATGCGGAATTACTTTCATCCCTCTGTTCTTATAGAATACTTGCTGCACGCGCATTAGCGTGTGTGTGTGTGTGTGTGAGAGAGAGAGATAGAAAGAGAGAATGAGAGAAAGATTGTCTTACATGTACCTGGAAAGGTGACGTGATAGGTTGGCGTGGAACACTGACAAATCTCTGCATCCATCATAAGACAGTTAAAACTTGCCAAGACGAAGGTAATGGCTAAAAATTGCATCGTGCAGCGTTTGTAGACAAATTCCACTATGTTGTCGTGAACTTCTAATGAAGTGATTAATATTACACAGACAAGGATATTTGAAGGTGACAAAACATGATTATTATATTTTCAGATGCAGCAAATTTAAAGATAACAAGTAATAAGAACCATGACTCCCAATAATATGACACCTTTTTAAATCTGTATCCTGTTGGCTTATTTTCATAGTTTATCGATCCAACTCCGCTAGGGACTGTCTGTCGCTAAATGCAATCAGTTTATCAAATTAATACGCCTCCTCTTGTTTCTAAAGTACTCGTTTAAAATCACAAGCTTTTCTGTTTTCTACTCAGGAAGAGTAGAAAACTGAGTAGGACTCTGATTGCATTCAGCGAGGGTACTCTCAGCGTTGGATTGATCTACATGTACGAAGGCCGTTAGATAAGGAAACATATAGCACACGTGCGCGTTTGAAAATTCACAAAACTTATATTTCTACAAAGTTTAGACATTGTCTGCATATGAAAACTATAAAAGCCTCAAATAAAAGTACCTGATGTCATTAGCTCCTGTAATGTACAGGAAGACATGGCGATCTAAAAGACTGGCCAGTTGTTTATAATTATATAGCTGAATCAAAAAGTGCAGGAACGAGTAGAGCAATGATTCTTGATTGGAAAAATTGCTTTTTCCCCGAGAAATTTGGCGGATAATTTCCATTTTAAGTATCGAAACGATTCGAATACGAAGTCCTCTTGGCGGTTACGTTATACATGTATTCGAGCCAACGGAATGGACCTTGTATGCTCGTTTTCAGATGCAACATTTAGTATTACGTGTACATAAGGGATGGGTCGTACTTTTCTAAAATGAAACCTTTGAAACTCCACAGTCAGAAAACAATGAACTCGTGGGATCGCGTGAGCTGGAGGAGTACAAAAATGTGGATAATGTTACAGCTCCATCCGCTACGTCTAGGGAGGCAAAACAACAGAGGGTATATGTGAAACATTGCTACACAATTCAGTTATCGTACTAGCAGGATCAGCTTAATGGTCTGGCACGCACAGGATAAAAATACCAGGAAAATATCAAACTTTGAGTAGTATCTAAAAGCAGCAAAACTTTCCTTTTTTCATCAAGCTGTTTTGTTGGCCTCTTTGCAACCCCACAAATGAAAATATGTTCGCTACTTGTCAGGATATTTATTATTTATGCTATAACATTACGTAATTTGATTCAACATTATCTAATGCTCTATAGATTATGTCGCCGTTTATGAGACTGAAGAAAATGGCTAATGGCATATCGAAATAGCTATCGTGGATAAACAAAAGGCTTAAGTTGTGACAAAAGTTGAAATTGCAATTTTGAAAATTGAGATATCTTTCCTTATATTCAAAGCAGACCAGGAATTTGATATGCATGCCTCTTGATGGCAAAAGGGCTAGCTAACTGTGCTGTATAAATACAAGGATAAGGCCTAGAATACATATTATATATTAAGCTTTACATGTCCTTATGTATCTAGCACATAATTATAATAATAAATGAATATAATAAGTAAATGCCCGTGGCAATAAGTTACAGTGCGCTGCTGATATGTAATGTGTTCAGATAATATGTTTTGTTGATAATAATGATTGCAATATGTCCACTGCACGGAAGAATCATACACACGTTAACGGTTTTCGTGTGAATTGACCGCGCCAATCACAGTGGCGCATCCAGACAGCAAGATTCCGTGGTTCCGTAGAATGACAGCTGAAGAAATCCGTGAACCATTTTTGAAAGTGGGCTGTAAATTTCAATCAAACGGCGACGACAATCAGAGTTGGTACTTTTGAAAGTTAGAAAATAAATAAGCTTCCCCGTGTCGGCGCTGAAGCGAATGCTTCATGCATATGTTTTTCTCGAAAACAACCAACAAAGACTCCGAAAGAGAAAGAGTCATCTAACCCAGGGCTCAGCTGTCCGTCTTTGATTTGTGACAAAAGCAAAAATGTCAGATAAGATGCTGCGGTTTGTAATAAGGTTATATCCAGAACAATCATCATGACTGAATTACAATGGCCAACGCCCAGATACTCCATTTAAACAAAAATAAAGAACTTGGCAGAACGCTGTTTATGTTGATGGCTAATCGAAATATCTCTCGTGCAAGTTGGTAAGCAAAAGTCTTATGTTGTGGAAAAAGTTGAAGTCGCAATTTTGGTAATTGAAATATCTTTCCTTATATTCAAAGCATATTAAGAAATTGATATGCATGCCTCTTGATGGAAAAGGGGACTAACGAACTGTGCTGTATCAATACAAAGATAAGACCAAGAAAACATATTACATATTCAACGTTACATAACCTTTTGTTTGCATCACATAATTATAATTATAATTAATGATTATAAGAATTAATATCTGTGGAAATAAGTTACAGTGTATAAGTTATAACTGATATGTAATGTGTTCAGATAATATGTTTTGTTGATAATAATGATTGCAATATGTCCACTGCACGAAAGAATCATACACACGTTAACGGTTTTCGAGTGAAATGACCGCGCCAATCACAGTGGCGCATCCAGACATCAAGATTCCGTGGTTCCGTAGAATGACAGGTGAAGAGAGCCGTGAACCATTTTTGAAAGTGGACTGTAAATTTCAATCAAACGCCACCGACGATTAGAGTTGGTACTTTTGAAAATTTGAAATTAAAAAAGCTTCCCCGTGTGGGCGCTGAAACGAATGCTTCATGCATATTTTTTTTCTCGAAAACAACCAGCAGAGCCTCGGAAAGAAAGAGTCATTCAACCCAGGGCTCAGCTGTCCATCTTTGATTTGTGAGAAAAGGGAAAATGTCAGATAAGATGCTCCGGGTTGTAGTAAGGTTATCTAGGGTTAAGGTTGGTGTTGGGTTAGGTTAGGCCCCATGTCGGCTCTGAAAAAATGCTTCATACTTTTTTTCTCGAAAACAACCAACAAAGACTCCGGAAGAGAAAGAGTCATCTAACCCAGGGCTCAGCTGTCCGTCTTTGATTTGTGGAGAAAGCAAAAATGTCAGATAAGATACTCCGGATTGTAGTAAGGTTATATCCAGAACAATCATCATCATGATGGAATTACCGTGGCCAACGCCCAGATACTTCATTTAAACAAAAATAAAGAACTTGGCAGAAAGCTGTTTATGGTGATGGCTAATCAAAATATCTCTCATGCACGTGGGTAAGCAAAAGTCTTATGTTGTGGAAAAAGTTGAAATTGTAATTTTGAAAATTGAGATATATTTCCTTATATTCAAAGCAGACCAGGAATTTACATATTATATATTAAGCTTCACATGTCCTTATGTATCTAGCACATAATTATAATAAGTAAATGTCCGTGGAAATAAGTTACATGCGCTGCTGATATGTAATGTGTTCAGATAATATGTTTTGTTGATAATAATGATTGCAATATGTCCACTGCACGGAAGAATCATACACACGTTAACGGTTTTCGTGTGAAATGACCGCGCCAATCACAGTGGCGCATCCAGACATCAAGATTCCGTGGTTCCGTAGAATGACAGGTGAAGAGAGCCGTGAACCATTTTTGAAAGTGGGCTGTAAATTTCAATCAAACGCCACCGACGATTTGAGTTGGTACTTTTGAAAATTTGAAATTAAAAAAGCTTCCCCGTGTCGGTGCTGGAACGAACGCATCATGCATATTTTTTGCACGAAAACAACCAACAGAGACTCCGAAAGAGAAAGAGTCATTAAACCCAGGGCTTAGTTGTCCGACTTTGATTTGTGGCAAAAGCGAAAATGTCAGATAAGATGCTGCGGTTTGTAATAAGGTTATATCCAGAACAATCATCATGACTGAATTACAATGGCCAACGCCCAGATACTCCATTTAAACAAAAATAAAGAACTTGGCAGAACGCTGTTTATGTTGATGGCTAATCGAAATATCTCTCGTGCAAGTTGGTAAGCAAAAGTCTTATGTTGTGGAAAAAGTTGAAGTCGCAATTTTGGTAATTGAAATATCTTTCCTTATATTCAAAGCATATTAAGAAATTGATATGCATGCCTCTTGATGGAAAAGGGGACTAACGAACTGTGTTGTATCAATACAAAGATAAGACCAAGAAAACATATTACATATTAAACGTTACATAAGAAAAATCAACGTTACGTTACGTAAGAAAAATCAATAAAGAAAAAAACCACCGTAAGCAATACTTATAGGTCTTAATTTTGGCGATATGTATCGGCGAGCGTATCTGCGACACATTACGAAACCGGAAATGATTAGTCTATGGGCCAATGTAGACCCCCCTCCCCCCCTTAGTGATTTTCGTTCACTATGTTTTTC